AAATAAAAGGAAAAATGTGATTAACAAAACACATTAAATAAGTGGTGCTTTCACAGTCTGAAATTTGTATCAGAAAAAAAAACAGCCTACCTTACTCAACCCTTCACTGCTTTCAGTCGATAAGGTACCTGCAGAATATTAGTGAAGTGATTAGAACAAACATACTAAACTGGGGTTAGTTTTCACCTCGGAGCAGGTTTTTAAATCAGAGCATGTTAATAATCACTGGCTATCAGAAACACGGACTTACATGCAACTCATCACTTCAGCAAAAGACACTAGCTTGCACGAGACAAGATTTGCACTCACCTCATATCCATAAATGCGGGTGCCTGTAAAAAGTAAACGAACATCGCATATTACAAAAAAACCCGAACGTTTAGAAGGTTTAGACATAACTGGGGTTAGTTTTCACCGCTTAACACTTTAATCGGAGCATGCTAATAATCACTGGCTATCAGAAACACGGATTATCATGCAATTCATCACCTCAGCGGGAGACATTTGCTCGCACGAGGCACGCGAGATTTGAACTCACCTCATGTCCATAAACGCGGGTTCCTGTAAACAAACAGAAATGCTGCATATTAGAATGAATCCCGAGTGAAACCAAAACATCACATGGCTGCATTCCGCAACTTTAACCAGTCAGTGCAGTAGGTTTGTAATCATCAGATTCAGGTGAAACACGGACTGCAAAAATCATCATGTCTGGGCTGAGCAGCGGCGGACTCGATGCAGGCTAAACCGCTAACGTTACAGTAATGATACAGTCGGGCTTAACACGAGGCATCTGGATGAAGTTAGTAAAGCAGATGCACCTGCCAATTCGGCAAGCAACAAAACTTCTCTCAATTAAATCACACATTAGCTTTCAGTATTCCTGTGAAATATGAATGTAATGAACTTACGGAGTACAATCCAGTGGGCCAGTCACATCGATATGATTGGGAAAACACCTCCTTTTGATTCCATTTATATTTTACAAACGGTAACCCCCCC